TCTCTTTATTCTGAAAGAGAGCTTTCCAAATCTGTGGTCAATATTGGTCTCTAGAATGGTTTGCCTTGCTAATTTTTTAAAGCAAGTTCATATACCTCTTGCCTTCACATTATTATACACTCTTCTGGAATCATACGACAAAGATTTGATGACAAAGAACATTGAAGGATTTAAATCTAGTATACCTCTTTATATTTAGAGTAACTTACATTGTTATATTTATGTATAAGTAGCCAGAAAATGCTTCTTCTTATAGTTCAATAGTTACTGTTTAGGCACTTCCAAAGAGTATCTGAATGGTTTGTCCAGTGGTTTGAACAAAATAAAACAAGCTTTGGAATGTTACATTTCATTTTGACAGAGAAACAGGCAATGATTCCATTACTCAGTGAATTGTTACTTTTAACTTTGAACATCTTTTAGACACAAAAATATTAAAAAAAACTTTCATAAATCTAAATTTTACTTTAAAACAAGAAGATTCTTGTACACTGAAAGAATTGTTTAGAAAATCCTCAAATCTAGACTAATATAAAATCTTAAACATCTCATGGACCAAAACTAAAATAATACCAAATGGCCTGTTTCAAAAGGCTCAACAGATAGTTTCGGACACAATTGAAATCTAAACTGGGTGATAATGCTAAGGTTGTGGTCACTGCAATATATATATTGAGATTGGGTAAAATGTGTGTATTATGGGGGGTACTGAAGGCAAGCAGAAGATTTAGATTGAAGCAAATTCATTTGAAAACAGCTAGTTTCACAAATAACATAATTTCTCTCTGATGTTTTTACTACACAGTTCAAAAGATAATTTGGAAAACATGTACCTCAAACTGTGAAAGAATGTTTAAGTGAGATCTTTTATGAAATTGTAAATTTCATGTTTTATACTTAACCTGTGGGCAATACAGTAGAGATGCTGGAGTGAGACCCAGATTTGAATCTGGCTCTTTTGGCATTTAATATGACCTTGAGGGTACTACTTAATATCTGGGTGGAGGAAGGGGGGAGTTGCGGTTGTTACATGTTCCCTTTGAAGGGAATTATATCTATGTCACAGGGTTTTTGCAAGGCTTATGTGAATATTTTATGCAAAGTTCCCGATACTGTTATTGGCACATTAAGTATGCTCTCAATAAATGAAAGCTATTATATCTAGCTACTATGACAACAGGGTTGGGGCTTGAGACACCCTATAACTAAACTGTAATCATTAGCAAGTAGATATAAAATTGCCAGATAAAATACAGGAATTAGAGTTAACTTTGAATTTCAGATAAACATCATATAATTGTTTTAGTATAAGTATGTCCCATTCAATATCTGGGACATACTTATACTAAAAATTTTCCAGTATGTATCTGAAAATCAAATTTAACAGGGTATCTATCCTGTTTTTATTTGCCACCCTAGGTGTAGAAATAATAAGATACAGTCAGAAGGGACCAGTTGACAACCTCTAAATATTACCAGTGTTGTTCACCTCAAGGTGGTTGAGAGACCCCTTTGCTTACCAGTCATGCAGCCAATACACTCCTGCCATTAATGTCTGCCAGAGCAGCACTGTGTTCCTCTTATCAAGTTCCAAATTGTTGGTCTGGACCTACCATTTAGTAGATAAATGCCTACTAGATTTTCTCCTAAAACAAACAAAGTTCAGCCCTGGCCAAGTAGCTCAGTTGCTTGGAGCATTGACCCGATAATGACAGAGTTTTGGGTTCTATCCCTGGTCATGGCACATATAGGAGTCAACCAATAAATGCATAAATAAATCGAACAACAGGTCAATGTCTCTCTGTCTCTAAAAATCAATAAAAAATGTAAAGCTATTTGGTAGATTTAACATAAAAAAAAGAAAAAACGAAAGCTTAAATGGATGGGAAGATAAGGCTTATACAACATCAAACATTAGTGTACAAAAGGAGAGTATGGAAGCATGTTAAACTGAGTGGTAAGAGTCTAAGTGCTAAAGGAGTTCAGAGTAAGGGGAGCTAATCAATGAAAACTAGACAAATGAGGAAGGAGGCTCTAGACCTGCAGCTTGAAAGATGAGTAGGATTTGGCAAGCCTATGGAAATCTGAACTTCCTGGCTCACTGGACTCCCTCCCCTGAGGTTGTTCTCATAGAAACACTTTATGACAGGTGAACTTGGCTGGCAGAGGCTTGAGTCAATAATTGATAATTTATTGTCCCTTCACCTAGAACCTTCTGATACCTAGCAGCATAGACAACGCATGTGCAAGTCACTGTGAAGCCCTGTGATTTACTTCATTGACAACTTCCTTCTTTCCCCTAAGTTCAGGGCTCTTAATTTTGTACCCAGGTTGTTCACAACAGGGGGCAAGGTTTAGGATTATGTAGCCATGTCACCTGGTTACTTCTTGATTAGGCCATACTAACAGTATGAGACCGTGGCTGTTTGATTTCAGACCAAACAGAGTCAGAGCCAGTGGTGCCTAAAGCACTTACTGAAATATGCATCATGGTCATTAGGACTTGACTCTGCCAGTAATTTAATCTGTTGTTGGCTATTAGGAGTCAGTATGGAAAGAGACCTGGTCAGTTTACTGAGTAGGGGATAGCCTAAAGGGTAACAGGCTTATATTTTAATGTCAGGTAACAAACAATTATTGAACCTGCATTGTGTGTGTGTGTGTGTGTGTGTGTGTGTGTGTGTGTGTGTGTGTGTGGTGTGTTTGGGGAGTGGCAGTTTTTGGCAGGTGAAGTAAGAGACAACTGATGACATCATTGTTTGACCTTTTGGATTTCATGAAGTAGATAGATTTGAGACAGCTCATGCCTCTATGACAGATGAGCAATTGAGCTACATCAACAAGCACAAGGTATCACAATGTAGGCAAGAGTACTGAAGATCTGTGGACTGGGTGGAGGGTGTTAGGCGTGGAATAATAGGCTTCCTTGTGTTGAATTTTGACCCATATTTTAAAAGAAAGCATTAGAAAAGGAGATGCTAGGATATTCCAAACTAGAAAGGGGTGGGCACTAAGGGATAGGATATGAAATGCAAATTAGAGGAATAATGATTTAAAAAACAATAATACAGATCTTTCATGTTCCAACAGCTATGGAAGAGAAGCACTTTATTCTAGGCCCTCCATACTACAGTAGACTCATTGTGTTATTACAAGTTTACCTCTCTGTCCGGCCCTACCCTCAAACATTCTAATATGTTCACATGCACTGGAGAGAAAAGATTTTTAAAATACAGTGATTTTGCCCTGGCTGGTTTGGCTCAGTGAATAGAGTGTCGACCTGGGGACTAACGGGTCCTGGTTTAGATTCTGGTTAGGGGCACATGCCCGGGTTGTGGGCTTGGTCCCCAGTCTGGGATGTGCAGAAGGCAGCCAGTCAGTGATTCTTTCTCATCATTGATGTTTCTCTCTCTCCCTTCCTCTCTGAAATCAATAAAAATATATTTTAAAAAATAGTGATTTTAAAAAGTACAAAACCGTATTTTTAAAAGCACAAAATCCATATGGTTTTTTTTGTACTTTTAAAAATCACTCTTATTTTTTAGAAATCCTTTCTCATTAGTACATTCATTTTATCTGCTGCCTAATATTTCATGGTATGGATGTACATTATTGATGATAGAAAGTTAGTTTCTATAAATAAGGTTCCCAATTAAGATCATTGTACTGATGTGAGATTACAGCCAGAGGGGAATTATTTGAGCCAGACCAACATTGAAAACAGAAACTGATGTATAAATGCTTTCTAATGGTTGAGCTTTAAAAATATATCTCTGGGCACATGGTGTAGTACTTGTTACATGTCACTAACGTCCACAGGCATTCCTTATTTCCCTCCTGAGATTAGGGAGCTTCAGGACCCGTAGGGAGAAAGCAGCCTCAATTCCAGCTTGTGGGGGCCACACAACAGGCTTTCATGCGGATCAGGAAAGTCCAGTCATTGCTTGGCCCGGCGTTCATCCCTCCGCACCTCATCCGTAAACGGAGCGTTTCCATTGAGGACAATTGCTCTGGCCCCGTTGCTGTTCTTAATTCTCCTCCGCTACACCGTTATTCAATTGCCGGCTGGAGAAGAGGCCACCACTGCGGACAGTGCTGTGGGAGACGGCACCACTGTCCACAGCGAGAGGGCTCTTGCAAACACGCAGGAAAGTGGGAAGCATTTCAAAGCCTGAAGGGGATGCCGCCGCAGCGCCGTGGCCCCTTCCCCTGGCCTTCAGAGCGCGTTTTCTCAGCCTGTGCACAAGGATGGAATTAGTCAGCCGGGAGGGCGGGGGCTGATCGAGTGTGGCTCCCAACAGCCTCAGGTTCGTTTGTTTTCATTTGCTTTGAAAACAAGATAGACGAGGCGCGCTGGAGCGTGGCAGGTGGATTTTACAATCCCAGTCCCGGATCTGTGGAAGCCGCGCCTCCCTCCTCCGCCGCCGCCCATCACTGGGTACCCGGAGCCGGCGCAGCTCCGGACCG